ATTAACCAACTGCTAAGAATTTACTCCGCATGGAATGGGTTGATTCAGAAGTACTACCCTTCGGAATTCACCTTCGACTCATTGCGAGCGTAGTAAATTGCGTTTACAATTTACAAGTCTTCGAAAGTTAGCTACTCAGAAAGTTGAAGGCAACAATAAGAAAAAGTTTCTAGGCAAAATGCACCAAGCATCTTCTTTCAAAATTCCTACTTCAAGAAACGGTAACTTTGTCCGGATTTTTTGTAGAATTGCACAGCACTGCTCGTTGTAAGTCAGCGCTGGGCTGAGCAGTGCTGCTGAATTGGACTTCTCTGAACTTGCTGATAAAAATTACTCGCAAAAAAAAATCGGAAGGTCCTACTTGTTTTGCTCGCTTTGAGTTGAGAGAAAATACATTTCTTGGATTTATTCGCAGCTGACAATTAGATGTTTTAAACCAAATCTTATCATATAGAGCGAAAGTTCCTTGGCTGTATTCGCGCTCACCAATTTTATGTGATTTAGGACCACAACGACAGATTATCTTCATGCTAATATTGTAATATCAAATTTCTTGAAATAATTTTTTGATGAGGATTCGTAGCCCAAATTTCCAACGACCGTGACTAGTTTATGTAGTTTTCTCTTTTGTCGATTGAACTCACGTCAACAGAGCAAAAAGAATTGCTGTCCTTCTGAGGTGAGTTATCACAGAACGCACAAAGCTTTAGGGAAACTACATTCATCAAAAGCAATTCAAGAAGATATAAGCACTATACATGAAAATGTCTTTTTCAAAGGTATTAGTTCGAAAAGGAATTTGAAAAAAACTGATAGAACTGAAACAACCCTATGTTAACCGAGAATTCGGGCGTCAAGTTGAATTTCGTAATGACTTCAATGACCTTGTCTCGGCTGTTACGAATACAAAACGAAGTGATGCAGTCTGTGGCTCTCGCCTCATGTAAGTCGTAATAGGTCGTAAAATAAGTCTTGTTGTCTCCATTGGCGACAACTTCACAATTGCGGCAACTGCATTTTGAGCGAGACAACATAAGACACCGCAAAATTGTTGTGGCACAACTATGTTTAGTGCGGCACCGATCTAGATCAATGACCACGATCTGAACATTGACGTCAGAGGGGGTATGAAAGCGAAGGATTCGGTGATGACCGCCATTTGTTTGCAAGTCTACTTGGGAAGAGGGCGAGGGACAAGTAATGTAGCAGCATACCTTCATCATGTACTCTAATAACCTTTACTCTGAGCGAAATAAAAGAACACAATCTTCATTTGTATAAAGAGCAGAAGTCATCCGCAAAACTCCGGATGTTAGGACCATGACTATATCAAAATGAACGGGAATGAAACAGATATAGGGTAATATCTCAAAAACGTCAAAGTAAAACCGAAGCATTGCATATATGCAGCTTTTACGCTACAAAGAAGTTTCCAAAGAATTTTTCATTTCCAGCGTTTTCGTGTCAACTTTTTTCAACTTGGGCTATCATTGCTCAAAGTAATATGCGCAACAATTTAGACAACGTCTGAGGAAACTGAGACGTTACTACGGGGGTAAAAACTCAAAGGACGCATCAAAAACTAGACTAGCTTCAACGTGCACTTCGACTTAGGGAGGTCCGTTTTGTCAAAGTAGCCTTTTCACAAAAATTTGATGCAGCTATAAAGAGCATCGAACGCTGATTCCAAATCTGTCTTCGGTATCTGCCGAACGCCTCTGGGCGTCGAATTATGAACGTTTTTTGATTTGAAAATTCGAATGCTTAATTAGAATGAAATTCGTCAGAATAGCTCAAATGGTTTAATCATGATTATCAGAGCACTTCATTTATACACTACTTTCTGTCCAAAACACTCTTACTTAACACTGATCTATTCAAACGCTGAAAAGACCGTAAAATTTGATTTTACCTGGATTATGCGTTCTTTTTCGCACCAAGAAAATGCTCAGAACTCGGCATGCAGAGGCGCTCGGTACGTAATAAAATCAGATTTGGAATCATCGTCTAATGCTTAAAGTAGCATAAGACTCATCTGGAAAGGCCACTTTGACCGATCGGACCTTCCCCCCCCCCTTGTTAGGAAATAAAAACTGTGCGTTTTAATAACTAATGTTTTTCCTGTTTATCTTATCCTTGACAATGACCACTGCCGAAACTTGGTTGTTTTGAAACAAAAACAGAGAGGGTATCAGCTTTTCCTCGTTTTCCCCCGTATTGTGGATTGCCCGGTCCTGGAACGAAAGCTTGAGCCTCGAAATGGTACTGAATGAAAAGTTTCAACTTCATTGCAACGTTTTTATCCAGATTTCAAGTGTTTCCTTTGCTCTTGCTCCCTGTTTGCATCTTTCTTCTACCCTGGTTTTCATAAACAACCTTCACTCTACTGGGAGCCAAATGTTCAAACAACCTTCACTCTTTTGACGCCCTGTCTCTGGACTGTTAAAGGTATGTGCAGCGTAGTAGTATAGTAGCAGCAGTAGTTACAAGTATAATTGTAGGGTTGGTGTAGTCGAGTGGTAGTTGACACAAGTACCGCAGCAGTTACCTAACCACATAACTATAGCTAGTAATAGTGAGGCTGTTGTTAGATACTAACCTACAGATTCATGTTATTAATTATAATATTGTCAGATCTCACTCACTAACTCATCATATATTATGCTCGAGTCATTTGTAACTTAATATGCGTAATGCACACAAAGCGTGCTACCTGACGAACTTGTAAAATTGAAATTTGCTTATTTCCAATGACTTCACTTCGTTTCCTTGCTTCTTCTGGTTCGTTTGGATATGTATTCATTAGTAGTGTACACTTTCGCAGTTTATTAGGCTAGAAAAGGTTTTGCTGAGGAGTTACTGACAAGGTGCCGTCCGTTGAAGCGCGTTGTGTGCAGGCTCACATATTAAGTTACGAATGACTCGACGATACCTCTGTGTATTATTTTTGCGTTTTGTATTTGTTAACGCTAAACACGCTAAACTTGTGATTCTTTGCGCACAGTTCTGCTGTTGAGTGATTTTTTGCATACATTCCCCCCATTTAACAAGAGATGCTCTGCCTGCTCTTTACTTGTTGGTATACAGTTGAATGCAATGCAATTAATGGTTTTTTGCATACAGTGAAAACAATGTGACCATTGCGACTGTGAAGAAAGTATTGGTGTTTTTCCATCCATGCCATACTTCTTCGTAGAGTGAAGTACAAAGATTTTTTTATGTTAAAGTAAATTATTGCAAATCAACTAATGCTTGTTTGTTCTCAAAACCTTCGCTTCTATAAATCGATTTGTAAGCAAAAACATTCTGAATGTTCTGTTGCTTCATTCGATGGATTGATAGACAGTCCCACAGATGTCTTTTGTTTCTGACATGCGTTCATACCTGAAACTGTATTGAGTGCGAATGTGCATCAGGGCCCTGCACAGGTCGTCTAGAAGCATGCTGGATTCCGTTTTTGGAGGAAAAGGCACAGGTGATATCGTTTTTGCGGGGTCCGGGGCGAAGCCCCGGAAAAAAAATTTTTTGCACATGTTCACTAGCGAGATTAAGGCTTAAACTACAAGTGCAACTGCAAGCAGTTTTTATCGCAAACGTATACTCTTTATTTAACCGAAATACCTTGCCATAGGGTCCATTCTGCGAATCAGAGTCATCCACAAGAGCCATGATGCCAAATTCCGTAAAGTTTCGCCGGTTTACTCTAGCTATAACAAAGAACAATCTAATATATAAAGAATCGTAAGCGCAATTTGAAAACCTCAAAATGCTGCCATTTTAAGCTCAGATTACGCTTGAGATTCTTTTCAGAGTGAATCCCGCATTCGCAATGATTGATGCAGGAAAAGATCTTGAGATAGATGTGACTCGCAAAGCCGGAGAACTAAAAGCCGAGAAACTGCTGATACTAACAACTGCGGTAAGCTAAGCATATCCTGTGCTTCTATCTACTGAAAAAATTTCAGTTCGACGGTACTGAAGCAGAGAAGGCGTATGAAGATAAGGAGCTCGATCCTGCTTGCTACCGTACCAATGGTCCCAAAGTAGTTGAATAAAGTTTTTGTGCATGCAATGTTATGTGACAACGAACCAGAATTGAATCATTTATATCAGACAAAAGAAATACAACAAAACCCTCATTATTTACAAAACAACAGGAGAACAAATTCCGCTAAATTGTGGAAAACAATTTCTCTTTGATCTTTCTCACCAAGTCTCTAAAATCAAGGTATCCCAGATGTAGGAAAATGACAATAAAGCCTTTACCATTTATTATCATTCAAGCGCAGGCACAGCTCTCATTCTTTCCAAGCTGAATCCACGATGCAGGCTGACCACCTGCAAAAACAAGAGATTAAAAAAAGACCTTTGTGATAAAAAGTTTGTTAGAGATAAAAGAAATAATGAGTCCAAAATAGTTTGAGCTTCATCATTATCCGACTTTTGGCATATGTCCTTTGTTGTTTCGTGCCACTCAAGAGTTATTTTGAAGTAGTTCAATGCCACTTAGCTACTACATTTGTCTCACATTTTTCTCGAAGTTTAAAGGAGAAAGAGTAGTACTCGCTAAACTGAAAAACTGATGATCAGAGCTTTTGAACATGCGATGCTTATAGAAAATGACAGGCACACAAAAAAGGTGCAATATAGCATTGACTTTCATTTTACTTCGAATCAAGTTCTGGAACGGCACATCTTATCGCGAAAATTTTGTCAAAGAACCAGTTCTAGGGCAAGGTCAAAAATCTATCCCTGAGCATAGAAACATTTTCATATTACCCCCTGTCCGTCGTTTTTTAACATCTTTTTTTCCAAAAATCGCCATGTTAGAATACAGCGCTCCACCGCCAATCCCGCGTTGCGAGCGAAATTTCGATCGCATGGTCGCTTTGCTGCAAGCATTGAGTGTTTCCTTCTTCTGTTGTTGTATTCGATATTTGTACGAGAATTCTATAGTCGTGTGTATACTACGTGTCCGTATAATCATTCCGTCTTCTAATATGCGTGTCAAAAGGATGCCAAGAAGAGGAATCTTCAATGATGTGCGGGAAAGCGGTACAGCTCGTCTGATCTTCCAGAAGGACGAAGTTCTGATGGTGGGTTTGTGTCAAGTTTTTTCTTTTCCTTAACACATTGACGACAACGTGACCCACATGGTGGGTCATGCAATGACTGCCACGTGGGACAATGTGACCCACATGGTGGGTCACGGCATAAATTTTTTGAAAGATTAACAATCACTGGGTACATCCGTTCCCTGAGGTCTTTTACGCTCTAACCCTAGCAGATACCTTGACGTTTCTTGGCTGCTTTCAAAAATTTGTGTAGGTATAGTTAAGATGACGATCTGCTTGATTTTAGTTAGAAATTTTCGGCTCGTTCGTGGAAGGCATTGTCCCACGAGGCAGACAACTAAAAATGCGCGTTGTTGTCAACGTGTTAATTATATAAAGTCTCACTGTTTCAATGAGAGAATGGAGACAGATATCTCCATTATCTAAAGACTGATTAGTTTCTCAGTACAAACCAAAACGTCGGTGGTACATGGATTGTACTCCTACTGGATTGTACGATCAAGGAGTGGAAGTAGGTCAACCTTATATAAATTTTCCAAGATTTTTATATCCTCTCCTTTCCAGTCATTGGAGCCCAGATTTTGATCGATTTACCTTTTCTCCTCGATCCATCGGAGATTATGATGCCTACATGTCTGCTTCGATGAATATGTTCATTGTATGTTGAAATTTCTTGGCTTTACCGAGCGCTATAGGATAAATAAGAGAAAGTTGGCATCATTTTTACTACAAGTCGCTCGAGGATACCGCGAGGTTTGTTCGTAGTGTTTCGGGCTTGAAACTAGATTATTGCATCATTTTTGTTTCTCTATTCTTTTTCCCAGTTTTCGAAAATCTTTATTTGTGGCCAGTCAAGAAATCAAAAAAAGTTGCAGCGATATAGCGTATAAAGTGTACATCATACTTGAAGGCTATAAATGCAAAGCAACTGATTCAACAGATTTTTGGTGTTATGGTTTTTCTTGTTTTATCGCCATGTAGCAAAGAACACAATTAGCTTCACAATGGGGGCTTGACAGCCCATCATTACATTGATTTGATTCTTGATTTTGTGGTGTTGGTTCATAAAAGAACTGATTGTGTTTTTTGGATAGATTGTAGTTTGTGCCAATGTCAATTGAAAACTAGGTCTAATGCCATAGAGATATGTCTCTTGATCCACGTGTAGTAATGTCATGCATAAGTGTGTAATGGGAAGATTACGCATTACACGCAGATTTCAGCATATTTTTACTGAGAGTTTGCGATTGTAGTTACTTTCGTTGGGAAGAGCTCATTGATGAGCAAGCCATGTTAGGGAACGGCCATAGGTTGCCGGCAACTGTTGTCGGTGTTGTCGATTGTTGTCGGTTGTTGTCAGTGTTGTCGGTTTTGTCGGTTGCTGTCGGTTGTTCTCGAAGTTGTCGGGGTTGCCGAGGTTGCCGGTCGTTGAGGACCTCATGATAGCCTCCACGTTTCGCGCGCTCTCTAAACTGTCTCTGACCCCGACAACAGCGACAACATCGACAACAATGACAACACCGACAACATCGACAACATCGACAACACCGACAACACCGACAACCGTTGCCGGCAACCTATGGCGGTTCCCTAAGTGTAACTTCTTATTTCCGTTTCCTACCTACAGCGAGGCATTTGTCCATCAGGGGTACTAATCCCAGTTGCCTTCAGTTATGCGAATGAGTTGAAGATGGTCTTAATAATCTGAGACCTGCGCTCGAAAGTCACATCACCAAAGAAGGTCTTGCAGCTATTGCCAATGTTGCAGATACATTTACAGTAGATCAACTTGTTCTGATTTTAGAACTCGTTCATTGGTTTTTACAAAACATCGGGTTTAGGTTGATCTGTCCAAGGTGGTTATGAGATCTGATCCCAAACAAGAAATCGAGCATGTCCAGAAGAACGTTGACGGAGACAGGAAGAGTGTGCAACGTGCAGTGTGCTACAACTTCGCGATAGGAGTGCTAGTGACTCTTCTGCTTCTTTCTGTTCCTGTAGCGGAGGCGGGTTACATACCCAGCGAGGACGATAGCCCTATAAATATGGTAAGAATACTACAAATACAAATATAAACTACTACAAATACGAATATATACAAAATACTATTTTCAGAAGGTGCAGTGCGAGCCTTCCGGATCATAGCCAACCAACAGAGATCCGGTAGGATATCTCATTAGTGCAATTTCTCCCGCAGTCTATTTGATACTGTTTTTGGTTGGTCACATATAAATTTTTCAATCAATTTATTTTTCATTTACATTTCAGGTGCTTAACAAACTCGGATTCGCGCTTCTAGCACTAGCACCAGCACGCCCAGCGAAGTCCTCGGCGCCTGAGTCGCGTCAGCCGCTTATCGTCAACCCCCACCACCGCCCCCGGTCAGCATAGGGAATCCCTGGTCATTTTTACCTCCCCAATTTTACAACAAGCAGCCGTCCTACTCGTAAATCTCTACTAATCTTCCTGCTGATCTCCTTGAATCGTCCTAACATTGGTCTTCTTTTCTATCTGAACAAAAAAGGTTCAAAAATAGCCTCTCCTTTTCTGATCTCATAATTTTTCCTTTGCAGCCACTATTAGTTCGTATAGAAACATTTGAAGTTCAATTTTGTTGGTTTTTTTTGAAAGTTGTTTTTCTGGAGAAATTGAAGTGCCCTGAATAAAGTTTTTGTGTATACTTTTCTTTGCTTTTCACACAGTCGGAGGATGGGGGGGGGTAGGGCAAGGGTCAAAGGGGATTTCGTTTCTCGAAAGTCAGGAAAGACTTCGTTTTTCAAAAGGCTAGAAACGGACTCGTGCCGGGCCCTGATGTGCATCTCAAAAAAGTTTACGTGCTTTTCAGAATCAAAGTTCTCGGTACAATGCGTAAGCCTTGACTTAAGTTAGAACAGAAGAGAGGAGTAGAACGTTTTCTTGATAAAACTATCTTAATGTAAAAACTGCTTGATGACAGTTGTTTTGTAAGTTTTACTGTTTTCCATCTTCCAAATATATGAACCTTGTTAATTACAAGAGGCGATAAATTGTTTTTCCCTTTATAAGAAGAAACAAGCTTCACAGGACTTCTTATGCTATTGTAAGCTTCCAACTATACTGAGAAGTCATTCAGACAGATTTGCCTCACCTTAGATCTGGGAGAGCCAAACACTGTACGTCGGCACTCATAATGGTCGGATCTCACGTCGATCTAACATTTTTGTCTCATGCGCGCTGGTGTATTAAATGTGCTCTCTTCCTTCTACGTTTTAAAATCACTACCGCCCAGGGCCAGTACTTATTGGAAAATGAGGACATCAGCCCCCTACAGTACAGCTGCCGCAATGCAGGAGAAAACTGTTTGCAAAAAATAGTCATCATTCCTGGATTTCCCTTGGAAAATAACACCGTCCTTGAACCCGTCCTTCAGCACTTTCTTCGCCTCCACGTTTACGGCCATGTTCTGAAACGAAAGCAAGAAACAAAACGAAAAAGACAGAAAGACGAAGAGATGAAAGATTAAAATGACGAGATGAGCACATGATGAGACAATAAATGAAATGATGAAATCGGCGCCACTTCAAAGTAAGCCGTGATATACATGTGATTGGACCACCATATCTATCAAAGCGTCTATTCATGCTATAGCTCGAAAAAGGAGCAGAGATGGTTTGATTTGACCCGCTCTCTTCACCATATAATCAATTTTTGAGCGTTGTAATTGTCCAAATCAAAGGGTCCAAAACTTATGTGAACTCTCTGATATTTATGCTCCCAACCAACTCATTTGGTTTGATGTTGGTCTAGAAACCAACAAATGCGGGAACTGGTTTCATACAATTTTGAAACTTTTTACATAATGTACTTTGGAGCAATTTTACATACACGTAGCCCAAATTTGGGCGCCTTTGCTTTCAACTTCAAAAACGAAGTTCAGTTTGACCCTAAACCAACTGCGCCGGGTCCTGGCTCAAGACGGAAGCGGAGTTTGCCACTTCACTTCAGTCATTTTTTTATTTTTAGCCATGGAAAATACGGAAAGTGCATAAATGAATGTTCGATGTGTCAAGCACTTGCTAGGCTAAATGGGGAATTTTCAAGTTTTTTGGGGATGAGATCAGAGGTGCGATGGAGGGAGCCGGGTCCTCAAAAGTGAAGGTGGTAGCCGCCGCTGGCAGCCAAAAATGAAGGTGGTGGGCACTCATTTCCCAAAACGACCGGAGGGGGGGGGGAAGGCGAGTGGAAGCGTTGAAAGATCATTCCGGGTCGTTGTCGCCAGTGCGCCACTGCCGATGCCACCATTCCGCATGGGACCATTACTCAAAGTGGAAGTGCACTTGGGTAAGTTGTAATTTGATTTGTAATCTCGCTTACCTCCTAATCCTCCTTCATCATTGTCTCCCTTCTAGTTCTTTGTTTTTTGATATTTTTTCAAAACTTCAGATGTGTCCAACGTAAGGGTCCAGCCCAGCACATTTTTCACCTGTGCCACAGGCAATTGGCGAGGTGTGGAGAATTCTTGCAAGAAATAAAAAGACTAGGAGTTTTGGCCGCTTTTCATGAAACGTACAAGGAAGTCGCGGGTTAATAAAAAAATTGTAAAAAACTGAAATAAGCTCTAAGATACTTGTTCATCTGTTAGTCGCTTTGCAGCAACCCTCGGAAAAATTCTACTGTACTTTGATTACTTAAAAACGCTAGAAAGTTGTAGCATCATACTAAGAGAAAGTGACTGGAAGCATTTATACGAGCATTTAGCGTTTCGTGCTCAGTATTCATAGTTGTGTAAAATAATGTTGCCATCAGAACCAAGAAGAATTTCATCAAAGAAGCAATAGCGTTTTCATTCGATACGCTAACTCAGAGCGCTCGTAACTCATCAACCACTGAAGACGGATATAAGGGAATGGTACCAATGAAAAGAAGAGGACAATCTCTTAAGCGAAGATGTTCTTAGATTGAGTTTTTTTATCTTGAGGGCGAAATGTGGCCTTCAAGGGGAGGTACTCTTGTATCTTGACACATCGACTTCGCTCCGACAGTACAAAAGAACTACTCAGAGTTTTGCATTTTATGAAGTCAGCTGTAATTTGGGGGCGCTCAACGTTAGCGACAAAAGGGGATCTCAAAGCGCGAGATTTGACCAGGGTTTGGCAGCTGACAGTTGCGCTCATTAGCCCTAAACCATGGAGGCTGCAATGAGCGTTAAGTTTATAAATCGTGCTCAAGGCGTTTCCTTTTTGCAAGTGCCTAAGGGTTGTTTCAGACTGCCGCACTGACCGCAGCAGACTGCAGCAGACCGCAGCTGACTGCAGCAGACTGCAGCTGACCGCACTGACCGCAAGCACAGATCGCTGCATCGTTTCGTGAAGGCGGAGAGGATTGATAGTTGTAGCTCAAACAATCAACAACAATATACGCCTGAATTACAAAACAGGCATATGCAAAGATAGTAGGAATCAGAACAAATATGAGCATACCAAAGAAAAGCAATCGCCAAAATTTTACTGGGAATAAATTAGAACCTAATGAACTTCCTAGGCGTAAATCACGGTAATTTGACGTAATCGCATTTGTTTCCTCTTCCATGAAAGAATGCAGCAATCTGAACGGCCGTTGCGATCAGTGCGGTCAGCTTCAGTCAACTGCAGTCTGCTGCAGTCAGTGCGGAAGTATGAAACAACTCTAATACTTCTATGTTTAGCAAGCGATTTGCATTCAGTTCAATAGCTCATTGGATGCCGGATTGAGGCGTCCTAGGTTCAATTCAACGTAGGCCCGCCCCCAGCCGAGTTGCGCTGAAGAGGATTTACTATGGACATACTTCAAAGCAGGTGGCGCCACGCCTAGAACACAATGCTGTTTATGAAACGTTAATTTTACAGCTGAGTTATGTTTCCGGCGGATTTTATAAGTTGACATCATCACAGCAAGGGACATTATTCAAAAACAGCTTTTGAATGAATAAACGCTAGAATGTAAAACAGGTTAGTTTCAAGTTCTTATAAAATCTCAGTGAGATCCATCTAAGTTTGAAAGCGCTTGGAGTAGATAGAAAGCTTAGCGGTTGTATCCCACACAAACAATATCTGCTAATGAATGTAATAACACTAGCTGGCTTACCCGGCTCCGCCCGGCCTTGTCAAAACACTGTAATAAAGGTCCCATCCCTATCCCTGAACGCCTTTCCCTGTCCCACTTCTGCACTTCATTTCCCCTTCCTTGTGTAATTTTCGAAATCAGCATGCCCACTTACTCCCCTGTGCCAACTCTCAGCTTTTCAACTCAAATTTTAAAAAAATCGATAAAATCGATAAAAGTAATAGGTAATACCAAAAACTAATATTGTGTTCGTAATCAGTATGCTCGATTACCCCCCCTGTGCCAACTCCCAGCCCCCTAGCTCAAACTTTGCAAAAAATCGATAAAATCGATGAAATCGATATCGCTCGATGACGAAAAGTGGCCTACGACATCCGCCTCGCCCCGAAGTGTACGTGTGCCAAGTTTGGTCCAGATCGGTTTAGAAATGGAATTTTCTATTCGGAACATACGTACACACATACAGACAGACAGACAGACAGACATACAAACAGACATTTAGCTTTATATATGACATTATCGGTAGGATTAAAGCAGTAGACAAAGTAAGAGCAGCACTTTTTGATGACAGTAGAAGGCGTTTTGCTCGAGCTGGAGTTCTAAGCTTTTGAGTGTATAGAACACTGGTTCTCCAAGCTTTCTCAGTCCTGTAATGTCTTCGCATGGATGTTCTGCTTCATTCAAACTCGTGAATCTGATTTGATGACTTGAAAGGTTGTTTACGAAATTCTGAAACTCAAAGGCTTTTCAGAACGTCGCTTTCTTGGCATTTGACACAACAGGACCCTGTTGAGTGACAAAATCCAATGTTAAGTGTTTGTGTTTTTTGGTGTAATTGATAGTACTTGATTTGACTTATACAAAACATCTGTTCTGACGTTATATGCATACTTGCCTCTGAATTTGCTGAGTTTAAAAATATGTCAATTCTGTAATCTCAGCCATTGTCAAACTACAAATCACTGCTTTGTATTATATGAGAAAGCAGATTAAATTATCCCAAGAACGATAAGATATTATCAGTACGCCAAAAAAAAACTTGTTTCAGAAGGTTCATTCTATCATTTTGGAAAAAAGTCAGCGTCCAGTACATGGATGAAGGAACGGAAGTCGCGAACCAGTATCATTTGCAAAGGAACGGAAGTCGCGAACCAATATCATTTGCAAGAAACATTCTCGAAAGGATAGGTGATCTTACCAAGAGGGACCTGCAGCACACACATTACAAGAGTCCTTTTCAATTAACTCTCATCAGGACTTAAGTTTTGCTCACAATTTCACTCTTAATCTATGGGTTTCATTAAGACATG